GTGTGACCAGGTAGACTTGGCATACGTTACACATATCCCAGACAACCATCTCAGTCCTTCAAGGTTCACAACCACATCAACTGACTTACCTCTTCTCCATCCATGAAACTCTACGCCTGACTTCTGCGTTACTCACGTGGTGACACCAGGATACACCGTCTATACTACGAAGACAACAGTGGTCAAACATCTGAAGCATTCTCATGTCTTCCATCTTCAATGACCATGTCTCAGAGTCATACAGTAGAACAGAGCGGACTAATGTGCAGTATATCCGACACTTAATAGACAATCGGATATCACGACAGCGACATAGGTGGCGTAAATTGGCAAAAGCCAATCGGGCCTTTTGTATTCGTGCAGAAATTTCATCAACCACTGACCAAGTCACCAGGGCTGATCCCACTTCACCTCACACGTAACTGAAGTGGTCAACACATTCAACCATCAGACTCAATCTCTATTGTTAGCCAATGCACCGTTAAACAATTACCCTGGAGCAGCAATTTGCATTTGAGAGATGAGAACCGCATCCCAAACATTCTCAAATTCCTACTCAAGGTGTTCAGAAGACTCTGCATCTTATCAGCGTCTTCACTTAATACGAGTATGTCATTTGCAAATTCTAGGTCTAACGAAAATTTTCCTGTGATTAGGTCAACCTATGTGTAGTCAGGTGATTAGAGGGAGACCCCAATAAGAATATCAATGATAACATTGAATAAAAATAGAGAGAGCAGGCAGCCTTGACGGACACAACTCGTTGAGCATAGCTTGCTGGACATCTCACCATAGGCTCTAACACACCCACAAGTGATTGAGTAGAAAGCCTTCAATAAGGTGATGTACTTACTCAGCACGTCTTTCAGTGAGATACATTGCCATAAAACTTGTAGATTTACGGAGTCAAATGCCGCCTTTAGGTCGAGAAATACGGCTGTCGTCGGGCGTCGGTAAGGATGCCTCGGTTCTAGAACGTGGCCCAGAATGTATATTTAGTTGATACACTCGTGGCTGTATCTCAAACCTGCCTGGTTTCTTCTGGCTTATTGTTTTCAAGCTCTAATCAGGCACCAAAGAATTACAGAACCAAGAGTTTTAGGTTACGAGATCAAATACATAGGTCAAAGTCAAAGTAGTGGACCAGGGTCAGTTAGACTATTTGAGCATACGAAAAAAACCTGGAGAGGTGAAAATTAATAGATTCTAGTATAGTAAGGGATTTAATAATAAATCTCGGTCAAAACTATACATGAAATGACACACAAATACTCAGCAGGATGGAGCAAGTTGGAAATCCTTCAAAGTAAGACAGCAGAATGGAGGGAGAGACCGATCAACTGGATCTTTAGAGTTAAGGAATTTGTAGAGACTTAATGACTTTTCATCATCGACTGACATCAGTTGGATAGCCACTGTTTCGTCCTAGTATACGACTCCTCAGCCGTGCGCACTCGTGACCCCACCCCGCCAGATATCGAACTGATATAATTTGGGATGATCGTTGGCGCTCACGGCTGAGGAGTAACGTACCAGGACGAAACGATGACTGACCAGTTCTCTCAGGTTTCTAAGACTCCTCCAATTGATGTCAGTCGATAATGAATACCAACTGAATCTTTGTTAATCGAATCAACACAGGAATGACTTAGCATATGTCTCGGAAAATCCTACGTACACCGACTTCACAAAGGAGGCGATAGATAATTAGGATTACATAAGGTATGTCTCCAAGCTGTGTACTTAGTCGTCTTGGACAATAAATTATGTCGGAAACGTAATCCAGTAAACATGTAAGAAAATCAATTCCTGTGAAGTCAGACATATCTAAGCGTGAACACGATTTCATGAAGACATTCAAGACAAAGAAGGTACATTCTCTTACAAATCCCAGAAAACAGTATCCCATTTCTAGTGACCATGATATAAATATACAGACTTGAAACCTTGAAATCATATAGTTGCCTAATAGGACACATGAATACAAGTAGTCTCTATGTCAGTTCTTATTATATGAATGACGATTTAATTTAGTCCAGTTAACGATGAAAAATCAACAAGATGTAACATGAAAAATATACCATAAGTATCACTCACTGACTCTGTAACTAACTTACTCAGTTTATATTACTTACTCATTCAGTGTGCAACTCGCTCTCATACTTTGCAAATCACTCACTCATTCATTCAGTCACTCAGCGACTCATTCACTCACCTAATCAGTCTGCAGCTCGTTCGACCACTCACTGACTCAGTCTCTCACTTATTTATTCACTTTGTAACTCACTCACTCATTCACTCACTAAATTCACTTATCCACCGACTGACTGACTGACTCACACACACACACACACGTTCGGTTTGCAACTCACTCTGCTACTTACTCACTCATTCAGTCTGCGACTCCCTCCCTCGATCACTCATCCTGCAACTAACTCAGTCACTCACTCACTCATTCCGCAACCTACTCACTCACTCACTCATTAAATCCACTCACCACCGACTGACTGATTGATTCACTCACTCACACACTCAAACGCATACTCAATCAGTCACTCTCCAACTCATTCAGTCAGTCAGTCTGTAACTCATTCACTCACTATCTCCAGATGTGTTCAAGTTGTGTTAATCAAACACTATTGTAGAAGAGGAATCGCAGCGTGGTTACACAACAACAAGAAGAAAGTTTTTCTTTCCACATTCAAACCCAAAAGCCACACTAATATAGCATCGATAAACACAGAGGTACTCACACAATATGAATGATGCGTGTATATATGTTGAGTCGCTAGAGATTTACATTTCAGAGCTAAGAGTGGATAAGCTTGCAATGAAAACTACTAAGAAGCAAGACACACATCGTAGGTGAAACGGTAATGTGAGCGTTAGATGTTAGATACAATCCATTTTCTGTATATATTTACTTTTAAAGCCGACTTACCTGATTTATTTGTACAAGAGTCTAAGGTATATACACCACATATGTGCGTGTATGTATGTGCGTGTGTTTGGGGGTTATTATACAGAGAAAAGGTGAATAATCTCCAGATTAATATAATTCATCAACACAAATTTTGTTTAAAAATATATACTACTTATTTACGATATAAGTAACAAAGTTAACTATATCAGCAATAAATACACTATAACTGTTTTATGGTTCCATTCACAAATATTTTAACTCTTGAAGAAGTATTATGTAAAAAGACACTAAATTTTGTAGCTAAGCTAGTAGTAGGTAGCGCATCCTAAACGACTGGACTTTGAAGTCTACCTTTGGATAGATTTCCATTTCATCCTTCAAACATCATATTAAAAACACAAGTCTGACAAACCATGGCTACTATCTTGCATAGTAAAACTGGTAAATAATAGGTTTACGTGTTTCAATCTCACATTTAGGCATATCAGATGAGACAATAGCTTAATTGAATACCAAAGAGTCTCGAATAACTGGTTTCGATTGTCGCGCGGACCCCAACATTAGTTGATGTAACGTTTTAGTCATGTTTAAGGCCACTCTCCATCAACTGCACACAATACATGTGATTGACTGTCAAGAGTAATCTTACTCAGCAGTTCAATTCCCATTGATGATGCATGTAAATCCAGTTGAAGAATCCTAAGGAGGACGAAACACAACTAGCAGATTTCATTACTAGCTACTACTTCAAAACAAATTATAACGTAGTGAATTCCCAAGCAATATCAAGCCATCTACACTCAGAAAGATCGATCAATTACATCCATCTGACTATGTGATGATGATTGAAGATGGAATGAAAATGTTTAGCGATCATAGGATTCAAACAACAGAGCAGCAGGTTTCTAACCGAATGCTTATCAACTGAGAGGGCTACAAGATCTGACTATGAGAACACTTAAACCACGAATCAGACAATCTATAGATTGATGTCATACCATCTGAGTAGTATGACTAACTCCTCTCTCTCGCTCTCTATAGCCTATTTCCCAAATCTAAGCCTACTTCAGTTAACATCTTATTTAGTACACACAAGTGGGGTGTACTGTTGCCCTACTTTTGTGCACACTCAAGTAGATACAATTCTATGGCAGATTATGCAGCGACTTCTTCGAACCAACTGAAAGAAACAGAACATCTACTTTTAAGATGTTCGCCAAGACAGTTTTGGATTAGTTGGATTACAGTTTTCAATATAGTCAGTTTCTATTTCAACACTTTGAAATCTAAAAGTGGATCAACATAAAAACTTGTCAAAATCAACATTCTAAATCATCACTGCCGTAAAAGGTAAACACTTTTCAATTCGACCTTGGTTTCATGTTACTGTTTGGTCAGAAAGAATCTTATTGGACAACTTTGTCCTTCAGCTGACCAATCCGAAATAAGCGTATACAACTTTTGATCTAGTTGTTTGATTTTTTGTGTGTGTAGAACTGATATGTTCCATGAATTTCTTATTTTTACAACTTAGTGAGGTTTAAAGTCTGAAGGGAGAATAGTCGAAGTGTTTCAACGCGTCACAATCGTTCTCATATTTCCTTCCTCTCGGACACTTCAACTGCGGGGGACTTATTAATCGATTTCTAGCTAATCTACACTTTACTCATTTCTATCAGTTCACGATGAAGCGCAATCTTTATTGAATACCAACTTTCTTCAATAAATCGGTCACAACAATCTCTCTCTCTCTCTCTCTCTCTGGCATCAAACCAATTTGCTCGAAATAGCCGACACATCTAATCATGGTAACAAGTGGTAACAAGTTGGATAGATGTTTCGCACACTTCCAGGATTCATCAGCACTCTGTACTCAGCAACGGCAGTACACTTACAAACTGAATTGTTTTTTCAATGCTTCCTAGCGATTTTTTAGGGTGAATCAACAACACCAGATGATAGTTGGACTACAGTATGAGTTCAAATGAGGGAAGAAATGAAAATCAATGCATAATATTGACATGAAGTAAATGATATACATATAAAGATTTATAGAATTTTCTAGATAATAACCTACTTGATGATTACGACAATTCTCCCATACTTTTCTCAATATAGAATAAGTTCTCTCTCTTGAAGCGAATGATGTGAAAAAAAACGTTCATGACTTTTAGAATAAAGAATTTGTATTGCATTTGGAATGACACGAGCTGTTTTCTCCTTAGTAATAGAGACAATTTCGTTGACTGATAAAAAAATCTATGCATAAGAAAAAAAAGGAGAAAATTAATACAGTAAAATACAATAAGATAGTTGTTTCATCCAAACTGAGTCTCATCAAGCGTGATAATATTTTTATTGAAACATAGCTGGCTGCATTCGATGAAAGTTTACCGAAGAAATTCAGCTCTAATGTTATGAATACCTCTAATCACTATTTCCTTTCAATATAATTTTAAGTGAATTAGGTAAAATACAAGAAATAGTTGTCTGTTGGATTAAATTGTATAAAAAGACAAGCAGAAAACCAAAATCGAGCCAGAGGCATTTTTATCGCCAAGATGTCAATCACTGATCATCTCTACAGACAAGAAAAACTCTCCATTCTAACTATTGTTTTTCTAATCTGTATTATTCTTGTGTTTTAAAGGTATTCACTATGATATCACCTTACTAGTCAGTAATCTGGTATAATGCCAGAAAGGGGGGTTGTGGAGATTTGGAAATATTTCAAGTTGTTATTCATCGAAGATTGACATCAGTTGGAGGAACAAAGGAAACCTGGGAGCACTGGACAGCTGTTTCGTCCTAGTATGGGACTCCTCAGCAGTGCGCACCCACCACCCCACACCACCAGCGATCGAACCCGCGACCTTCAGGTTCCGTGGTCAGCGCGTTACCATTGAGCCACTGGGTCAGAATCCAATGCTCCATATTTCCAACTTCTGTTAGCTCACGATATAGCGCAGACCGCCACCCAATGTCATCGTTGAGTATTTGTCCTCACGGCCATCAGGCTTTGACTCCACCGGTCACGACTTGTCATTGGAACTTCGGGAATACTTCTCGAAGCTAGTCACCAACGAGCACTAGTTCAATTAAATTTTGAGGGGTTGTGGAGATTTGGAATTATTTCAAGTTGTTATTCATCGAAGACTGACATCAGTTGGAGGAACAAAGGAAACCTGGAGCATTGGATTCTGACCCAGTGGCTATCTCAATGGTAACGCGCTGGTCGCGGGGTTCGATCCCTGCTGGTGGGGTCGTGGGTGCGCACTGCTGAGGAGTCCCATACTGGTCGGACGAAACAGCTGTCCAGTGCTCCCAGGTTTCCTTTGTTCCTCCAACTGATGTCAGTCTTCGATGAATAACAACTTGAAGAAACGTATTTATTAATTATTATTTATTCCTTTCGGTTCCTAGTAGAACATATGAATTCAAAAGTACGTCACCATTTCACTCTCTTTTTTCTGTAGTCTTTCGAAGCTGGCTTAACGACTGCCCATTAGCTTTCATTTCTTCTTCACACCATCTCCTCCATGTCACCCTCAGACACCCAACTCGTTTTTTCCCATTTAGCTTTCATTCGACGACCTGGTGTGGCACGTGATGTCTCCAAATCGTATTCTCAGTGTATGTCTAATTCAATCCATCTCCACTTTCTTCTTCTTCATATCTGTTGTGCGATATCTTCTTGGTTCGTTGGTTCGATGCCAGCCAAAGATTCTCCTTGTGTATATTCTTTCTGATCATCTAATCTTCAGTATCGAGAAGGCGTAGGCAGCAGCTATTCATGTAAGTCTACAGTTTGTTGCAAAAGGTTTACGTAACGCGCCAAGTCTGTCAACTATCACAAAGAAGCAAGCACTGGACTTGATTGAACTAGTATTGAGAATCCAGATTCTGATCACGCCTTATGCTGAGTGCAGTGCAGTAGATCTCTACGCTAAATATTTAAGAGTATTCAAGGCCTGTCTTGCCTTCTTTCCGATCCTGGCTTTGACATCTTCATCTGTGCCTGTATCGCCTGTCGTTGAAAGAATGCTGCCTCCTAGGTAGCTTGGTAGGTGAAAGAGATAACTCCCTTCAGATTTCTCCCGTTCATGGTGGTTGGTGCTTGTTGTTGTTGATTGTGTATCTTCATCACATCCATCTTCTCTACGTTCACCTGTAGGAAATCCTGTCTTCCTTTGCTGTCTCGCTTCGCCTTTTCTGCCAACTTGTTAGTTTTCGCCACTACATCTTCAAGTTTGTGCTACAGAGGACGTTAGACATAAATCATTACTAGGGAAATCCAAATCCTGTAAGGTCTTTTCATCGGTCAAACAGAGTTTGCCCCTCTTCTCACTCCTCATAGTTTGTTGCATGATCCAGTCCAGTTGAGTCGACCACAATCACGAAGATCATCGGTGATAGTAGGCAACCTTTTCTTGTCTTACTCCTATCTTCACTTCACTTTAAAGGCATCACTGAGCTTTCCATTGTGAATCACTTGGCATGTAGCGTCGTCATATAGCTGCTGTTGAATGAGGTTGATGAAGGTTTATGGCACCATATAGAGTTGAAGCAGTTGTCAAATTATTTCTCGGTCAAAGCAACCGAAGGCCTAGTTTACTAACTGATCCTAAGCTCGGATAAAGAGAGAAGGTTGGGCATGGGGCTAGCAACCCTACACCGTAAAACACATAAACGTATAGTACCATAAATTGTCGAACCGACAATCGAATCAAATCCAGATATTTCAAGTTGCGAATTTATAACAGACGACAAGCGCACTCAATCGCCTTATGTATATACCAGACAGTGATACTCAACTGGATTGTTTATTCATCAAGCTTTCATTGTCATTCTAAACACAACATCATCAGCAAAAACTTTGGAAAGAAGTAAATGATAAATTTTACTCCGCTATTTATTTATTGGCTTGTCCTGATGACCTTGTGCGATTGATTGTTTTTGTCAAGGTCTTATCCTTGTCTCTATACCCATTCCTGATTGGTTATCCAGATGACCTGAAATTTGACCTTCTCGTTTGCTTTCTAATTGATTGATAGATTATGTCAATGTCAATGATATGTCTGTTGATTGTTGACTGATCTGAATGTCAAGATCCATATTTCCCTAGTCAAATTAAGGTCCATAGTTGCCTGTATATGTTCATATCAGCGAAGATGTTCATGTAGACGTAGGTTGCGTTGCTGTCGTAATAAATACAAAGTTCTGGTTAGATACTACTTATATGAATATAAGTAGTTTACAACATGATAATTCTGAAGATATGGGCAAGTTGCGACTCCTATGCATAGGCTGAAACTTAACTACCTTTCTACTAACAAGGAATTCTTTAGACTTGTTGACTTATATCCAATGATGGAGAGTGGCACGTGAAAATGGGTTTCACAGTAAAATGAACCCAGTTGATAGAGATTACCAGGTCGGTGACATGAAGGTAACCTGTAAGGAATCCTGCTACAACCTAAAGATTTTCCACCTCACCATATCATTAGGACTAGTCTAGGAAACGACAACTGCGTCAGAAATTCTCAATAGTAACGGTTTTGAAACGAGAGTAATTTAGTTAATGGCGAAGATTTTCATTAAGATCTTAGTTGAACTTTTCATCTACGGAAGGCGGTTCTACAGTCCACTAACTTTGAAAACATACTCATGAGAAGTATATACATATGTTAAAAGGTTCTACATGTTATCTCTCGAATTGCTATACTCAGTTGAAATGCAGCCAAGTTCGAATGTGTGACTAATCAGTCACGAACGGCCATATTTAATGATAAGGAGTGAAGCGGTGAGATATATAGACCACAGAACAGATAGAGAAAACCCCTTCGACATCATCATCATCAGTCGCCTACACCTGCATAAAATAGGACGACTTTACAGGTTCGTACTTAGTTCAACCTCGCTTTACGGGTTTAAAACATGATCATTACAAGTTGGAATCTAGAGAGCACATTTCGGTGGTGCCCACCACTTCAAACATACACACACATATACACATACACTTACCTTTTGTTCATAAAGGATTTTTGAATAGAAACATACCCATGTCTCAGTGATATACATTCGACCTTGAAGTAACAGACCATTATTATTCTTAGACAACGCACACGAATAATCTGAACATATTTCAGAGAAAGAGAGAGAAATCAGCATACAGTGAACTTAAACAGTAAACTATATAAAAAAAACTCCAAAAAAAATATCCATAGATGAACTCAAACAAAAAAACAAATGAACTGACTAGAGATAGAGAGAGAGACTCTTACGATACATTAGAGATAATATCACGCCACTTCTAAACCTCACACACACACACACACACACACACACACACACACACACACACACACACACATCGATCGATTTCAGAACTGACAGTTCTCCTTCAGGAACGATATGAACTTGGAATGAATAGCAAAATGAGTTGAAATCACCACACACACACACACACACACACAGGTGAATGAGTACATTATATATATATATATATATATATATATATATATATATATATATATATATATGTCTACCAGATAGAAGACAAAGTTATACTTATGATAAAAATTATATCGATAAGTGTACTTATAAGAGTTCAACTGCTCAATAGTAAAACCAAAAAAAGGATTGTTGGATAAAGTGGTTGAATCACTAAGCAAAAATCATTAGAGTTGACAAGCAATAAGTCGTAGGTATTGGTAATTGAAGGTTGATGATATTACTCAACTTGATTGCTCAAACCTCGATATTAGTTGAAAGTTTTCTCCTGAAACTACCAAAATTTTGTGAGCAATTATATCGATTGGTGTCAGGTATTCATCTAGCCAGCCACCGTGAACCCACATTCAACCTAATCCAACAACCCCCTAGCATGGCATAGCACGTCGACGATGACCCCTAGGAATTCAATTGTAAAACATCTTCCAAAAACTTCTTTTATACTCAATTGACACAAAGTCGAAGTAATCTATGCAGTGATTCGTAGATATGATTTTTGTGTATACCCTTCTATTGAATGAATGACCTGATCATCTCTTCTAACCAATTGTATATCAAAGAAGTGTTCTTTTTTACACACCAAAATAATACACACAAATGTATAGCGTTTAACTCCTGCCAGATACTCGTCTAGCCACCCTGAATCCACCTTCAACCTAATCCAACTCCATCTAGCAACGCATGGAACAGCATATAGAAGATAACGGTGGCTTATCCACTTACCACCCTATTTCATCTACCACTCTTCACCTGACGACTTCAACATTCCTCACACAATCATTCTACTAAACAACACATCACCAATGCTATAATCCAAATCGTGTATCTACTTCACATCTTCCACTTTCAATGATCATCTGTAACACAACACGATATTCAAATATCTCACATCGGTTGCCAAATGACAAAAATGTATCTTCTTTATCCAAACTGATATAACTGACCAAATATGTGAAGTGATCGACACAGATGTAGACTGGCTGCTAATAGGGTCCCGAAAAAAAATCAGTGATTAAGGACTTTTGGTGATATGTTTAAGAATCACTGACAATTCTACACCTGTCTTCAATTCTTGATATCTTCTAAAGCTAGGATATTCGTGCTAACCTTTGTCTCTGTGTGTGTGTGTGTGTGTGTGTGTTATTCGTCACCTTTGTTTGGATAGAAGTCATTGTCTAACGATTATCACATGAAGTTTGGAAAACGCTATTTCTATGCGGAAGTTGTGCATACTGACGTGAAAATTTTGAGGGGAACTAGTGTTATATGAACTTACTTCAACTCCTACCAACCACATGAATACACTTCCCGGTTCCTGTTAACCACCATACGGTTAAGATCTCAAGTTAAATCACAGACAACTGATCATCTCATCTACTTGTCTTACATTAGAATTGTCTCATGTGAATTGATGACAACTAGGGATGTCGATCGATACCCATCTCATTTTTTAACTACGTCACAGATATACAAATGAACATGACTTATATCCTCGACTGTAGCTGTTGTGCTAGGTGAAGATGCTGACAACATCTAGGGTTTTGTGAACTTCCCTGTTGAATAGAAATATGTTTATGTTCAGCATATATGTTTCGCTAACTGACATCTGTTAAATGTAAGTGTTGGAATGTGTCGATCACTTCACATATTTGGTCAGTTATATCAGTTTGGATAAAGAAGATACATTTTTGTCATTTGGCAACCGATGTGAGATATTTGAATATCGTGTTGTGTTACAGATGATCATTGAAAGTGGAAGATGTGAAGTAGATACACGATTTGGATTATAGCATTGGTGATGTGTTGTTTAGTAGAATGATTGTGTGAGGAATGTTGAAGTCGTCAGGTGAAGAGTGGTAGATGAAATAGGGTGGTAAGTGGATAAGCCACCGTTATCTTCTATATGCTGTTCCATGCGTTGCTAGATGGAGTTGGATTAGGTTGAAGGTGGATTCAGGGTGGCTAGACGAGTATCTGGCAGGAGTTAAACGCTATACATTTGTGTGTATTATTTTGGTGTGTAAAAAAGAACACTTCTTTGATATACAATTGGTTAGAAGAGATGATCAGGTCATTCATTCAATAGAAGGGTATACACAAAAATCATATCTACGAATCACTGCATAGATTACTTCGACTTTGTGTCAATTGAGTATAAAAGAAGTTTTTGGAAGATGTTTTGGAATTGAACTTTATGGGTTTGTAGGGATTTATTGATTTATTTACAATTAGTAGTCATTATGGAGTGAGACATCTTTTTGAGATACATTGAAAAGCTAGAAGGTGGTCACGGAACATGAAGGTCCCGCGTGAGCACTATTGAAGGAAATATGACTGTTGATTTTTCCTATCTGAGATAGCCACTGTGGTTTGATAGACTAGTAATGATTGAAAGGTGAGATGAAAATTTTTACTACGGTCGGGTTCGAACCAGTGACCAATGGGGTTTCCAGTCCAGTGCATTACTAGCTGAGCTACGATGTCCTGATCGACTACGGTGGACAGTAGACATCGTAGCTCAGCTGATAGACTATCAGTCCGCAAACTGTGTGTCTGCTGGTTCGAAACCGGCTTGCGTCTAAATTTTCTTTTCACTTTATGTTCATCATACAACTATAAATAGCAACTTAATCTATATTCTAGCATTATTATTATTATTATATAATTTCCCCTTGGGTTCCTAGAAGAAAAAAGGATTTTAGTAACATGCCTCCATTGCATACTGTTGTCTGCAGTCTTTTGAACCTGACGCCACGACTGCCCACAGGCTTTTATTAATTTCACAGGTGATCCCCCTCCATGTCAGCCTCACCTCACACGCCCAACTCGTCGTTTTCCATCTGGGTTCCACTCGACAACTTGGCCTGAGGCATGATGTCCCCACTCGGCCTTCTCACAGTATGCCCAATCCATCTCCAGTTTCCTCACCTGCATATTTCTTGGGTGATAGGTTGTTGGTTGGTTCGTCACCAGCCGAAGTTCTTTGTTGCTTATTCTTTCTGACCATCTGATCATCAGTATCGAGAGTAGAGAGTTGTTAATGAAAGTCTGTAGTTTGTTGGAAATCCCTTTCGTGAAATGCCAAGTCTCTGAGCCATATAGAAGCACTGACGTGACTGAATTGGTGTTGAAAATCCGGATGCTGTTCCACACACTGAGTGCAGTAGATCTCTACATTGGTTTCACGTTAATGACATCGTCGTTTGTGCCTGTGCCGCCTGTAGTTGAAACAGTGCTGCCTAGGTAGGTAGGTGAAAGAGGCTACCTCTTTCAAGTTTCTCCCGTTGATGCTGATTGAAGCTTATTGTTGTTGTTGGTGGTGGCGTTGGTTCGGTATCATCATCACCTCTATCTTCTCTACGTTCGCTTGAAGTCGCATCTTCGCTGCCCTGCCTCTTCTGTCAAGTTGTTAGTTTTCGCCTGTAGATTTTCAAGTTTGCGCGATATTAGACATAAATCATCATCTGAGAAATCCAAATCTTCTAGGCTCTTTTCATCGGTTCAGTCAGCGTATGTCCACTTTCTCGCTCCTCAAAGTTGTCTGCTGTATGATCCAGTCCACCATAATCAGGAAGATCATCGAATCGAATTCATACTTGTATATTACACATAATTAAGACGATAAGTAATATATGAATTGAAAAAAACTGATGCAATGAACAAAATTGAATCATTAACAACCTACCAACAAGTAGACGATCAGTGTCAACAGGTGTACCACGAAAAGCACGTCGAAATTGATCCAATTTCGTTCGATAAGATGGAGTTAACGACTAGAATAGTGAAAAGAAGTAGTAGAAAAAAGAAATAGTTTATCATGATTAAATATACACAATGAACAAGTAACAGCAAAGGGTTATATGCATGAAAATGACAACGGTTAGCTAGCAGTTGAATTAGCAGCAATTATTAGTAAAATTTTCATATCATAGATAGGAAACAAAATAAAATTTAGGGGAAACTTTACTTCGGTTGATTGTGGCTAGCAGAGGTCAAACATTTCGATTCAGCACAACAAACAACAGAAAATAACAAGTATGTCAATAATTAGTAATAACTACTACCGTTTTGTACAAGAAGTGACTATCGTTCATCCATTGCACAGTGGATAACACCTTGGCGTTCAAAGCGATGAGAACAACGTTCGACTCTGAGTGGGAAAAATATAACTGACTGGGGTGCCGGTACATCCAGTTGACGAGTCCTAAATAGGATGAAGCGCGCGCCCTGGCTCCTTCTGATAGCCACAACTAACCAAATTATCATAGTTGACATTCAGGCAATATCGAAGCATCCGCGTACCAGCCATATGCCAATAGAGGTCAAACAGTTCGATCCAACACAACAAACAACGGAGAATAACAAGTATGCCAATAAATACTAGTAGTAAAAGAGATAAAGGAAGAATGACAAAATGGTGAGATTCGGTATAGCCTCGTTAAGATGATGAGGTGTGAGGGGATACATCTATGCCACTAATATCACTTCGCAGTCATATCAACTAGGGTCTCTGTCCCGCAGACCCCAACCACCTAGTCTGCATAGCCCCACATGGCTAAAACCAACAGTCAAAGACTTCATACATTGACGCCATGAGTCAGTCTGCCCATCCACCCCCCTCCACCACACTTTTCCAGCCTAAACCTACTTCGGCCAACATTGTGTGATAAGGCAGACGGCCACTACGCATACATAACACATGTCCCAGCCAACCACCTTAGTCGATGAAGGTTCATAAGCACACACCAACTGACTTACCTCTCTTCCATCTCCAAAACTCTACACCTAACTTCTCCGTTACTCATGCAGTGACACCACGAAAACAACGGTGGTCAAACATCTGAAGCCTTCTAATTTCTTACATCTTCAATGACCATGTTTCACAGCCATACAGTAGAACAGAGCCGACTGCAATGCAGTACATGCGACACTTAATAGACAATCAAATATCACAACGGTGGTATGAGTTGGCAAAAGGCAACCAAGCGTTTTGTATTCATGCAGAAACTTAATCTGCCACTGACCAACGCACTAAGACTGATCCCACTTCATTTCCCAGGTAAGTGAAGTGGTCAACACACTCAACTGCTACACTTTCTATTATTAGGCAATGTACCGCTGAAAATCAATCTTGGAGCAACAATCTGCATTTTAATGGTGAGAACCGCATCCCAAACATTCTGAAATTGACACTCAAAGTGTCCAGAAGACCCTGCATCTTGTCAGCGTCTTCACTTAACATGACTATGTCATCTGGATATTGTAGGTCTAACGAAAAATTCTCCTGTTATAAGGTCAACGTCCGTGCAGTCGGGTGATGAGAGGGAGACCTCAATAAGAATATCGATGATAAAATTTAATAAGAATGGAGAGTGTGCACCATAGACGTACACAACTCGTTAAGCATAGCTCCCTGGACATCTCACTATAGGCTTTAACACGCCCACAAGTATTCGAGTAGAGAGCCTTTAATGAGGTGATGTACTTACCCGGCACGCCTTTCACTGACAGACATTGCCATAAGACTTCTCGATCAGCGGAGTCGAATACTGACACCTTCAGATCGAGAAATACCACTATTGTCGGGCGTCGGTAAGCGTGTCTGTGTTCCGAAACCTGGCGCAGAATGTGTATTTTGTCGATACACCCGTGGCCGGGTCTAAAGCTTACCTGGTTTTCTCAGACTTGATGTTCTCGAGTTCCACTCACACGTCGAAGAATTATAGAACCTAGAATTTCGGACAGTCCTCGCCTTCCTTGGAGACTGGGATAATCACTGACTTAGACCAGTCAGAAGGGATCGTATTCGATTCCCATATACTGGTTAACAATTCCGTTAACCTGACTAAGAGCACTTTACCACCACCTTTGTATACCATAGGAGTTAGTCCGCCTGATCCTGGCCCCCTTCTCCATTCCAAGTTACCGACAGCTTTCTCGACTTCTGCAAGTGTTGGGAGGTCTATCTCAATGTTCCATTCAGAATTCGACTAGAGAGCAGGCAACGTGATGCAGGCTGGAGGCCAGTTAAATTGTTCCTCGAAGTGTTCTGCTCATCGTTCAAGTTGTCTCCCCTTACGACTGAACCGCAGACCCATCCCTCTATGCTTTAGTCTCACAAACTGTTGTTGACGTTTTCCCTCCCCCCTCCCCCCAGTTCCCTCAATAAGTTTAAATAATTGTCTACTGTTACCAATCAATATCAATTCTATCCAGAGTGAATTTCACCTACAACCTATTGAGGTTCATCAATCAGTTATGCAAGAGGTTCCAGCAGTTCAGTTAGTGTAGCATAGATAGGCATGACTGTGTGATGGTCAGCATACAAAGATACAAGACACCAAGGTGTAAAAAAGAGAAAGAAGGAAGAAACTAGTTAAACTGGCGGTCAATATGACGATTAAGATGAGGATAATGTGTGGGGTACATTCGGATAGTTGACAGTGATTCTGACACATGAGTTTGTGTTGTCACTGCAGACGGCAGCCAACAAGTCTGTATTTCCCTAGACTTCATAGATGAATAGTCAAGGACTACCAATGTGTCTTATTCTGACCATTTCTAACTCCTCTTCATCAGCCATAAACCTGATTCATCTAACGATTGTACAAGAAAGAAGCCGGTGATTTAGAATACTCAACATATATCCCAGACATCAAACTCACCAACTGAGGTTCCACTTCTCACTAAAACTTTACACCTATCTAACTTCTATGTTAGTGATGTCGTTGAATATCTGAAATCATTATGGCAAGCATTTCCCTCAGATGCTGCCATTGGACAACTCAGTCGACAAAGTTGACAGACGCCCTCAGGCCACTTACACACAACTGTGTATTACAATAAACAATCGGGTTTGCTGTAACGTCTCCTTAATAAGTAGTTATGTTCTGAAAAGATATGATGTTAGAATTTACCTCTAACGTTGATTTCAGATACGATTATAATGCCTGGAATGCATGTTCCCTTGAGGTTCTACTTTTATCATCAAAATTTACCCTTTGGGTTCCTCATGGAACATAAGGCTTCACTAGCACGTCGCCAATCCACTCTATTCTCTGCAATCTTTTCAACCTGGCTACACGACTGACCATAAGCTCTCATCTCTTCCTCACATAATCTCCTCCATGTCACCCTCTAATACCCAACTCATCGTTTCCCATCTGGATTCCACTCGACAGCCTGGCCTGGCGCGTAATGTCACCGAATGGTCTTCGCAGTGCATACCCAATCCATTTCTATTGCCTTATACATTTTTGTTGAGTGATAGGTTCTCGGTTGGTTCGTTGTCAGCCAGGCAGCCAGAGTTCGTTGCTGCTTATTCTTATTATTCTGGCCATCTGATCTGATCTTCACAAACGAGCCAGTGTAGGTGGCAGTTGTTGATCAATATCTGTAGTTTGTTGGAAATGCTTTTCTTAATGCGTCAACTCTCTCAACCATATAGAAGCAAGTACTGACTTGACTGAATCGGTATTGGAAATCCGGATGTTGTTCACGCTTTATGCTGAGTGCAGTGCAGTGCAGAAGATCTCCACACTGGTTTCAGGCTGATGAACGCCTGTCTTGCTGTCTTCCCGATCCTGGCTGACTTTGACATCCTCGTCTGTGCCTGTGCCGCCTGTAGTTGAAACAGTGCTGCCTAGATAGATAAGTGGAAGAGGTTACTTCTTTTAAGTTTCTCTCGTTGATGGTGATTGGAGCTTGTTGTTGGTAGTGATGTTGGTTCGGTATCATCATCACCTGTGTCTTCTCTATATTCACTTGAAGTCCCGTTTTCGCTGCCTCTTCTGTCAACTTGTTACTCAGATTCTACTATCTAACACGAAAATCAATTACCGTTGTAATGCAAATTACTACACTATAGTGAGGGTCAGAGGAAGAAGTCGTACTATTGGCTGGATAAGGTTATGATGGGAATGGCTGCCTTTCGTAAACGAAGAGGTTTGACTAGTGAAATTTGTTGATCGAATCGATGGAGGTTGTAGACAGACATGCATAAATTGAAGCGCAGTTCTGTGAGACGATGAGCGATGTTCCGCAGGCCAAGATTGTTGTCAAGAGCTGCAGAACTGCAAAAAATTAAATGCGATATGGAATTATTGACGGAGAGATTTTAATCAAGATTAGAAGTTAGGTATGTGGAAAAGAAGGTTGCCTACTATCACTAACGATGATCTTCGCTATTGTGGTCGACTGGATTGGATCATGCAACAAACTGTAGGGAACGAGAAGATGGGCCGTCTGACCGATGAAAAGACCCTAAAAGATTTCGATTTCGCCCATCATGATTTATGTCGAATATCTTGTTGCACAAGCTGGAAGATCTACAGGCGATAACCAACCGGTTGGCAGAAGAGACGAGGCAGCAAAGACGGGACTTCCTTTAGATGAACATAGAGAAGACAGATGTGATGATAATACCAAACAAACAACAACAATCACCAATTACCATCAATGGGAGGAATTTGAAGGAAGTTGCCTCTTTCATCTACCTACCTTGGCAATATCGTTTCAACTACAGGCGGCACAGGCACAGACGGTATGAAAGCCAGGATCGAAAAGACAGCAAGACAGCCCTCCCTTCATCAATATGAAATCAGTGTGGAGATCCACTGCACTCAACTCAGCACAAAGAACAGGATGCAAATTTTCAACTCAGATCTTGTTTCAATGCAATGATTGAGAGATTTGGCTCGTTACGAATAGCATTTCCAACAAATTGCAGATATACATGAGCAGCTAAAGCCTACGCTTGTTCGATACTGATGAT